CCCCCCGTCCCCCGGCCCCTCTCCCTGGGCCGCGGGTGCCCCCTGCCCCATCCTGCCCTGACACCCCTGTGCCCCCTCCAGGTCTCACCAGCCTACGAGGTGCCGCCAGGGCTGCTGCCCAGCACCGGGCTCTGCCCGCCCTCCCGCCGGCAGCCCCTGCCCGTGGAGCCGGGGCGGGTGAAGGCAGCAGCAGCACGGGAGAGCACCGGGGCGCTGAAGGCCTGGCTGGCGCGACACTCCAGAAACCCCTATCCCAGCAAGGGGGAGAAGGTGATGCTGGCTGTGGTCAGCCAGATGAGCCTCACCCAGGTCTCCACATGGTTTGCCAACGCCCGCCGGCGCCTCAAGAAGGAGAACAAGGCAGGCTGGGCACCGCGTGGCGCTTCGGACGGTGAGGCCAGTGAGGGCGAGGGGGCACCACCGGATGCCCCCCCCGGCCCTGACCCCAGCCTCAGCCCCATGCAGGATGGGTGCGGGGGCAGCCCCGAGGGGGGGCCAGGCCCTGGGCAGGGCAAGCAGCCCCAGAAACCCAAGATCTGGAGTGTGGCAGCGATGCTGGCATCTCCCCCCAGCGAGAGCAGGTGCCCCCCGGGGGTTCCAGAAGTGCCAGAGCAGGGATAGGGCTGGGGCAGTCGTGCCCTGTCCCCAACAGCCTGGTGGGGGTCAAGACTGTGGCTGGGGGGGGGGGACAGCCCCCCGGCCGTGGACAGCCAGCCACAGGACCCAGAGGCTGCCCAGATGAGGAGAGCGGGAGGTCTGGGCAGGGAGGGATGCGGGGCACTAATAAACGTGATTCTGTCTTGGACCTCCTGGTGTTGCTTGTCTGCGGCGGGGATGCCGGCGAGGATGCTGGCGGGGATGCGGGAAACTGCCAGCGCTGCTGTGGGCAGCTCCACTGCCCCCGGGGAGCAGGGCAGGTCCTGCCTCAAGCCCCTTGGGCTGCCCCTTGCCCGGCCCCCCCTGCCCCCCGGTGACGTCCCAGCGCTGTCCAAAGTGGGACCTGCTTGCGCGCCTGGCCAGGCTGCCAGGGGTTCGCCGGCCCCACTGCTGGCTGCGGTCCCTGAGGGCCCGTCGTTCGGCAGAGGAAGAGCTGCAGCATTTCCAGGTGATTCGGTGCCTTCCTGACGCCTCCTCCCCTTTCCCCTCCCTGGATGTCCGGGGTCATCCGTGGGGTGAGCTCACGCGTGGGGTGCAGGGCTGGGGTGGCTGTCACAGCGCTGCACCATGGGGCAGCACAGGGAGGGACACACATTGACTGGGACACGCAGGTGGCACCGCACACGAAGGGGGCGGGGAGGGAACAGCAGCACCCGTCCGCTTGCTGAATGGGACATTGGCTGCCAGGACCGGGCTCAGACCCACCAGGCTCCCCCAGTCCCCCGGAGCCAGACTCACAACGGGCGGCTCCATGCAGCCCCAGGGGAGCTGGCCAGGGAGGGGAGAGGGGACGAGGAGCCCTGGGAAGGCACAGACACAGGGCAGAGCTGTATGCCAGCTTTTAATGTGCCTAAGAACTAGGAAACAGAAATCAAAACCAGACTTTGCTCTTCTTGATAAAAGTAATAAAATGGTTAGCGGTGTTAAATTAATCCTTACAAAACAAAACCCAAGGAGGTTAAATAAAGCCCAGAGGCTCCGCATAAAAACCACGATGACTACAAAACAGCTGCAAAGACGTCTTTACACACCAAAGAAAACTCCTCTTCTCCGCTCCTCCCCTATACGGTACACAGTGTCGGCGAACACGGGACTCACACATGTGGGAAAGAAACACGGATGCAATGGGAGCAGCCCTGCGAGGAGCACGGGCGCCGTGGACAGAACTATTTACACTATGGACACGGAGCTGTGCTGGTGCCAGTCCGGCCGCAGGAGCCCCCGGGCTCTGCCCGCCCTTCTCCTGCCGGCGCCGGGCTGTGGCCAGCTGCTGGGGCCCCTCCAGCCGCGGCGCTAGGCGCCGAGCACTCACGCTTCCTTAGTTGGGATTAGTCTCCCGGCTGCTGCTTTGCTCTCGGCCCAGCTCCTGCTTTTTGTCTGCTGTGGAGGAGGAGGATGAGGACAAGGAACTGAGGGTCCGGCCTGAATGCTTGTAGGCTGCAACGAGCTCCTGCAGCCGCTCTGGCATGAGCTCCCACTTGGCAAAGCCTGCACTGTTCTGCAAGGGAAGGCAACAGGCGCTGAGCATCTCCCCATGGTCCAGGCACACCACCACGCTGTGGGTTGGGGAACACCTGTACCCCAAAGGACAACACTCCAAGGTGCCCAAAGCCTCCCTGTATGGGCACAGGGCTTGGCTGTGCAGGGTCAGGAGTGGGGGAACCCGAAGACCTCCCGGCACAGACACTGGCAGAGGCTGTAGACAATGCAGAGGAGTAGGGTGGAGGGCACAAGGCTGACCAGGATGATGCCCAGGCTGTGGTGCTCGATGAGCAGGAGGTAGATGCCGAAGGGCAGGGAGCTGAAGTACAGGAGGCAGAGGACACCCAGCATGAAGCGGGGGACGGCTCGCCACCCCCAGGAGCGGCACTTCCCAGGGCCATGGCAGGGCAGTGCGTCCAGGCTGGCGGGGGGGGCACCACCTCCAGCCTGCCCAGGCCCTCCGGCGGGGCCACGTCCTCTGGCACCTCCAGGATGGTGACAACCAGGCAGTCGGGCCCGGGCGCAGGCTCCAGCACGCTGGGGCAGAGGAGGACCTCAGGGGACCTGGGGGGACCCTGCTTCTTGGCCCACTCACGGCCTGTCAGCAGGGCCAGCACCTCGCCATCATCCTGCAGGTGCTGCACGTCCCCACCGGGCACGGGGCTGTGCTGGCGGCAGAAGGGGCAGCGGAGCTGACGGGGCGACGCGTCCCCCAGCACCACCATCTTGCGCAGGCACTTGGTGCAGAGGCGGTGGCCGCAGCAGAGCAGCTTGGGTCTGCGGGTGCGGGCGTCGTAGCGGCTGTAGCAGATCTTGCACTCCAGCCCGGGGGCTGCGAGTGCCATCGTCTGAGGCCCCTGCTTGCCGTCCTGCTGGGCCATGCTCCCGGAGGGCTGGCTGGGGGCTGTCGGGGCTGGGGGG